TAACTCAATATTGATGAGTTTTCATGTAACTTGAAATTCACAATCTTATTCAAATTACTACTTCGTAGTTTGAGTGGACTCATTGCTGATGGACTTGTTCTGCATAATTCAAGTGAAAAGTTACATTTTGTGATTGAATTCCCTCTACTTTTTTTGTATTTGGATAATCGCTCTGATAGCATTCTTATAGGGTTACGTGTCTAAGCTTGAATCTGCCTTCCATGAACTAGCGCAAGGCTTCTATCAGCAGAAACTCAAAGTAAGTTGTGCTTTCTTTGCCTTTTGTTTTGCTTTCTCCTTGCTCGTCATCTTATTTTCATTGAAGGCTATCCGAGCAAGGTCTATACCGAATAATTCACCTGCATTAGTTGTTCGTCAGCTATTCAAACTTGCCTTCCTCTCGGAACTGCGGCAGGACACCCATACTGCTTACAGGTGAGTTGCGGAGACCTTTTTTTGCTTTCTTACTTATGCTTTATATCCTTTGTACTTTTTCTTGGCTGTCAATCTTCTCTGGAATGCTGGTTCTCAGTTTCATTCTATCTTTTGCTAACAGGAACTATCGTCTTGCGTATGAACAGTGCAAGGATCATATTGAAAGCTGGGATCCTTACGATATTTTCGAGTGGCGGAGTGTTGTTGGGCTGCTAAATTATAAGGTAGATGGTTCATCTTCTCACTCACCAAGCGGTACAACAAAACCTTGTTATTATACTGTAACTTTTTCAGATCTGCGAGTTATGTTTTCTTCATAATATGGCTGTCGAAGCGATTAACCAGATGCGCAGGCATCAGGCCGTCTTCTTCTCTGGCCCTGCCGGTGTTTACCCTACCCCGCAACTCGCTCACATCGAACTACAATTATGGAATGCCAAAGAGGCACGTAAAGAGGCCAGTAGTTTTTGAGAAGCTAATGTTTCCAACTTTCAGTGCTGGCATTTTGCTCAGCTTTTCGAACAGGCTGTAGTGAATGGATTGACAGCGTTAGCTACTTTGAATCCTGGAACACATTTGGATTTGGCCGCGTCATTGTACTCTGCCGTGAACAAGAGTATTCTAGCGTTGAAGAAAAGTGAGTCTTTTGCTTTTGTTTTACAACAAATTTGAGTGATCTGTTCGATTTCCAGCAAATCCTCTAACGCAGCCGTATCCAAACCCTGATCCCATGGCGGCAATACATAATACCGTAAGTCTGTAGTCATCTTTGACTTTACATTTGCATGCTGAATTGGAGGGTTTAGGTCTTCTTCGGTCAGCGTCCATGGAGAATTGGATATGATGGTCTTGCTCCAGCTAATGTTGAAGCAGACGCAGTTATTGCCATTCTGGTAAGTTGCGCGACATACCGCTTGAGAC